CTTTTAACCAACACAGTCATGAGGGGCTGTCCCTTATTATGCTAGGCCAAATATTGCCTTTAAGCCCAATCCTTCTTGTCAGTTAAAAACACATTTGATCTAATGATGGTTTCTCTTGCAAAAAGGGTGAACAGTTTTGAATTCTGCTGGAGAGTGCATATATTTCTTGAATAAGATTTTTCAATTATTCAGGCTGGGAGATGAAAACAGATGGTTTAAAATAAATAGCATCTACTCAGATACGGGTATCCACTAAAAATAACATTTAAAGTGATATCAAAGGAAAGGAAAGTGATTCAAATGAAGAGCTACTCTCCCCACCACCGTTTTATTTGTATAAGGTCCTGGCTAATAGGAAAACCATCCTTAGTACACTCAGCCACCTGTCTACATCTGTCATTCTTCACACTAATCAATGAAAATGGAAGGAATATGTCAGGATTGGTAATGTAGACTCTTCAAGACTGTACTTCAAATCTTCTTATCTTTTGAATATATTTCAAAAAGCCGAATCAGAAAATTATACTGTCAGGAAGCTGTATGAGGTTTGACAATTTAATTCCTAGAATTGACCCATGAAAGCAACATTTGCTTACCTGATCACACTCAGGTGATATCATATTCAAAGTACTTCCCTGATGAAGCTATACATATTTTGAGACAATGGTGCCATTGCAGGAAACATTCTTAGAACTTGTTTTACAGAATATCTTTTCAGTCATGTGACTGGATATTGGATGCATTGATGAACTTTTGTCATTTTTAGTTCATTTTATTAAATTTTGAAGATAGCCAAAAAATAAATCTGTCTGATGAATAAATAAATGATCCATTATTTCTTAATATATGTTAATATATACTTTTTAAAGGGTTCATTTTTAATGCCATAATAAATGAATATGGATCTGATGCTGAATATGACATCAAATATGATTAACTTTTTCTTTTTCTCAATTTAGAATTGAAGCAAAGACAGAATTAAATATATTACCTATTATTCACAATTTTGGGATATTAAAATTATCTATGGAACATTTTATTTTAAAAAGATGCTAGAGTGAATCTTTTTTTGTATCTGATATTTTTTTTTTTTTAAGCATTTCACCCCAAGGAAGGCGGCGAGCCACTAGCATGCAAGGGGGTTACAGAGAGTTGGAACGAGAGCAAATAGGAGTGATAGAGGAAAGGATGAAGAGAAGGATAGGAGATAGATCAAGGCACCTGGAGATGTCGATTGGCATTACATTTGAATAGTTAGAGTTAGTTAGTTATCAGGGAAACGGGAAAAGTGGAGGGAGTTCCACAGGCGAGAAGTGCAAGACATGAAAGTATTGGAGTAGAAGAGATGGCTACATTTAACAGTTTTGACAGTGAAAGGGTGAGAGCGAGATGCCAGCCTAGTTGAACGCTTAAATTCATGAAGTCTGGGAACCAGCAAAAGCAGCTCATCGGAGCAGTTACCATGAAAGTATTTGTAAAAAAGACAGAGGGGAGGTGATGGCACGTCTGTGAGAGAGAGCGACTGCAGATGAGTTGCCAGATCAGGGCCAATTACATTGCATATCTGTCTCTGGACCTTGAGACAAACAGAATGGGCTCCAGACCATATATGGCAGCATTACTCCATGCAAGGGTGAATGGTTGATTTGCAGAATTGTAGATACAAAAAGATTTCAATGAAATTTAACATAATAAAGTAAAAAGTTGTCAAACAAAATGATGTTGAATCATTTGGCACAGGGTGCAATGAGTGAATTGTTGCCATTATATATTTTTTTATTTCATGCATGCATGTTGTTCAATTTTGATTTTGTCAACTGCACAGTAGAGTCAGTTGGGCACCATCTGGAAAAAATTACACTCCGCCAGAAATTTGGAAATGGCATGCTGTACTGCTTGACATTAGCACCAGAAGCTCCAATACAAACATTTCAGTGTGTTTGTGTGTCAATCTGACAAGAGTGTAGAGGATTCAGAAAGAGTTGGATGAGTCTCATGGTGATTACGAAGGTTATTGGAGTTATCACTAGTGATCGCAATGTTATGCAACCATTCATCTTTGCACTCGGTCTCATACTCAACACAGATATCTATATCAAGTGCCTTGAGGAAGTAGTGCTGCCCTGGAAGACCCTATGTCTGGCAACAGAGCCTGCACCATGCCACACAAGCAGGGGAAACCAGTCATGGCTATCAGACAATGTCTGAAACCACATTACCTCTTAAATCTGGCCATCTAACTCCTCAGACTGTAAACCCCTTGATGCAGTTGAGTGAGAGACTAACAAAATTCCTTATAACACCAAAGATGAACTGAAGGCAAGGATTATGGCAGCATTCACCAACTTAAACAAAGAGGCCTACTAGAAAAGATGCAGGAGATTTTGAAGTCATCTGGAAGCCATGGTTGAAGCCAATGGAGATTTTATTTAATAAATTTACTCTTTGGTATTTCATGATAATTTTGTGCAATTTTGGTAAATATATCTGTTAAAATGAAATGACAGCACGACTTTCATTTCTATGTCATTCAGACGACAATTTATCAATCGCACCGTGCTCATTTCAGACATTTCAGACATTGAATGCTAATAACTTTTATAGGACAGAAATTGGATCTTTCTTAACTAATTTTTTCAAATATATTACTGCCTTTGTCCCATAATGTTTGCTTCATTTGAATACACATTTCATATACTAAATGTATCAACTATTATTATGGGACAGAAAATGAGATCTTTCTTTTGACTCATCTTCATATTTTTCAGGCCTAATTATCTCCATTTTGTAGATTTTATTTTAAAAATATTTATCTTCCTCTGTCCCATAATAGTTGTTTCATTTGAATACACATTTCATATACTAAATGTATCAACTATTATGGACAGAGGTAGGATTTTCTTTTTGACTCATCTTCATATTTTTCAGGCCTAATTATCATTTTGTAGATTTTATTTTAAAAAATATCTTACTGCCTCTGTCCCATAATAGTTATTCATTTTGAATACACATTTCATATACTAAATGTATCAATTATTATGGACAGAGGTAGGATCTTTCTTTTTGACTCATCTTCATATTTTTTCAGGCCTAATTATTCCATTTTGTAGATTTCATTTTAGAAAAATATATTATCACATAATAGTTGTTTCATTTGAATACATTTCATATACTAAATGTATCAATTATTATGGGACAGAGGTAGGACCTTTTTGACAGCTCATCTCCATTTTTTCAGGCCTAATTATCTCCATTTTGTAGATTTCATTTGAAATATTATTGCCTCTGTCCCATAATAATTGTTTTTTGAATACACATTTCATATATTAAATGTATCAAATTATTATGGGACAGAGGTAGGATCTTTTCTTTTGACTCATCTTCATATTTTCAGGCCTAATTATCTCCATTTTGTAGATTTCATTTAAAAAATATTTTACTTTGTCCCATAATAGTTGTTTCATTGAATACACTTTCATATACTAAATGTATCAACTATTATGGGACAGAGGTTTTCTTTTTTGACTCATCTTCATATTTTTCAGGCCAATTATCTCCATTTTGTAGATTTCATTTAAAAATATTACTGCCTCTGTCCCATAATAGTTGTTTCATTTGAATACACATTTCATATACTAAATGTATCAAATTATGGGACAGAGGTAGGATCTTTCTTTTTGACTCATCTTCATATTTTTCAGGCCTAATTATCTTCATTTTGTAGATTTTATTTTAAAAAATATCTTATTGCCTCTTTCCCATAATAGTTTTGTTTCATTTGAATACAATATACAAATGTATCAAACTATTATGAGGACGAATCTTTCTTTTGACTCTTCATATTTTCCAGGCTAATTATCTCCATTTTGTAGATTTCATTTAGAAATATATAGTTAATGCCTCTGTCCTGCCATAGTTGTTTCATTTGAATACACATTTTCATACGAAATGTATCAATTATTATGGGACAGAGTTAGGATTTTTCTTTTTGACACATCTTCATATTTTTCAGGCCTAATTATCTCCATTTTGTAGATTTCATTTGAATACACATTTCATATACTAAATGTATCAATTATTATGGGTCAAAAGTCATGTTTTTTTCAAATCTTTCATACATAATTAGCAGTGTAAATGTTCAGATGAGCTCCATTGTTTATTTTCATCAGTGCAGACCTTTACAACAAGGACATTTCATGCCAACTAGAACCCGCTGCACGACAAAATGGACAAGACGAACGGTTACCAGTGAGCAGTCATGCAACAATGTTGAGGTGGATGGTATGCCAAGACATGTTCTTGACCTTAGAGTGATTCAGGAGGATTCAGAGAATGATGCGGACAATGGGAGAAGTTCTCATGAGGCTCAGCCGCAAACACTGCAAAGAGAGTGACATCCGCCCAGATCGATGGATGACTTATGTAATACAAGATGTGATCATGAGAACAGGGGCATGTGTAGTTTGAAAAAAAAAAAAAAAAAAAAGAAAACTTACCTCATGGACATCCGTACATAAAAAGAATTGCGTGGGGAAGCCATATTGTTTTTATGCTGACAAATTAACGCAAAATCACAGCAACCACTAGATTTGAGAAAATATAAATATGCAGTATACGAAAGACGGGGGCAGAAGGAAGTTTGTCTACAAACAACCAGACAATATGACAAATACAACATCTACACTTACATGAGGAGGATTTAAGTTCATCTATTTCATATTCCAACTGTAATGAAGAAGTTCCAAGGCTTGCCACTTTGCAGAACAGACTTCCGCATAGATGTTTCCCTGAACATGGCAGTCTTAACCTTTTAAAATCAACTAAGTGTCAAACATTATCTATCCTTCTTATCCTTATAATCTTCATTGCGCCTCATTCAGTAACCCTCTATTTTGAGTGGCTCTTGTGCCTTTTAATGCATGGACTTTTTGTAAAAATGATAAAACAAACAAAGCATGGTAAGTAAAAATTTAGTTTTATTAAATGAAATGCTGATATTCTTAAAGAGAAGTTTTCAAAGATCCTTTTTTCTTTTTCATCTTGAGAGATTTGTGCTGTGGTGATGGCTTTGTGGGTCTGGATTCACTTGTGGAAGCAACATCTTCAGTACATTCATTGGCTTTTTTCGATAATGCTTCCCTGGCTCTCTGCTGAGTTCTGTCGAGACGTTTCCGCTTCCTTCTCTCCATTTCCTTCTCGTCTGGATC